ACACATATTTTAATCCTTTTTTGAATTTAAATTGAATTTACAAATTTGCAGATATATTTTATCAAAAGCAGGGGAAAATATCTATAAAGATGGTATTAAATTAGGTTAGCTCAAGGCATTATGGATTACACATTCTAATTACATGGTGCAGGATAATGTAGACATACAGCCATTTGGGGAGGGTTTTACACAAAGCCATGGACAGTTAATTGGACCCCGTGTCTTTAGAGGTGCCTGCCGATGCTATAACATAGATCATTCAGATTAAAAAAAAAAAATCATTCTTAGTGGGACTTAGTTTTAGAAGATTCCATCGAACATCAAAGGCATGCTTCGATTTAATTCTCACACTGTGATCTGTGACTTCAGAAAGAGCATGCTGTTAATGACAATATGTGAAAACGAGACTTTCAGATCTGTTCGGTGTTGTGGTCTCTGCACGCTTGTTTGCAAAGACCTACCTCTCCAAGGGCTGTGGTTTCAGAGAGGTAGATGAATAGAGGGTGTGGGGGTTGGGAGACAAAAGCGGAGCAAAGCTAATGGAAAACGGAAACTAAAAATTGCTAGTGTTTAGGTGAAGGATAGTATAAACCAAAGGGGACCTTTTTTTGAGCAGATGATTCTTCCACTCCTTAGGGATACTGAAAGTCTGATCAGTTGGAGGTTGCAGTAGGATTGAGGTTAAATAAAGAATTTTCAGTGGAAATGAAACCTTGACATTGCATCAGGCTATACATCAGGCTAAAAAGAGATGCAGATCCAGGGGTGTTTTAATGGTGCTTCGTTAACCGTGGTCAGGTCTCAAACCTGACAGCTAGTGACACACCCCTTCCCAAAGCTGAGTCAAGATCCTGTAGGGTGAACTCTTCGTCACCCTGCAATAACTCTACCACATTGCTGCGAACTGGTCTTTCTAATACTCTCTTTCTCTGATTGTTCCTATTCTGTGAGGACAGAGAAGGAAATCATATCTTGTCTTGCTTACCACTGTATACCCGGTACCTACTAAACATATATCTATCACTTAGTAGTTTTAAATAAATATCTGTTGATTAAATGATTGAATAACTAGACACATGTTTATGTACAGAATCCAAAAGACAGTAAAAAGTTTTCTTCAGTGATCCATGATGAATTGGAGATCTTCTGCCTCTCAAATGACTTCATAAGGATCACGTTCAAGTGGGCAAATTATTAAATATAGTTCTGATGAAATTGTAAAACTTGAAAACATCACTCTTAAATTTAAATGACTGTTGTAAAATACATAGTGTGTATGTTTCAGAAACAAAATCTACACATATTTATGATTTGGTGAGAACTTATATTGAACTATAATGTGCTTTTAAATATATATAATTAAATTGAAACTTCTTGAGTCATCATTTGAATTGAATGTAAGTCATGTCTAATGTTTGTTAACTTACCCCTCATCCCAATGCCTGAAAAACAGAGACATCCTTTAAAAAAAAAATTCTTATATGTTTTCTTTTTGCTAGGCTTTTGCAGTATATTTAATGTTCATATAATTTTAATTTTTAAAATTCAAGTAAATTTTTTTTATGCAAACACAACCTTTAAAACAGAGAAGAGATACCTCACTAGATGGTTTTTCAGCGGCATCAAAGGATAATTCATGTCTTGGGTTCTTACATTTGCTTCATGGGTAGCATGAGACCGTAAACATGAAATTGGGAAAGCAGGAGGCCTCCTGAGAGGATGATTGTAATGTTCTCAGTGTACAGTAATGCTTTTCTGAGGCTTGTTAATTGCCTCTCCTATTTGTTTTTTTTGAGTTGGAGTCTCACTCTGTCGCCCAGACTGGAGTGCAGTGGCCACTCGCAGCCACCGCAGCCTCCACCTGCTGGGCTCCAGCAATCCTTCCGCCTCAGCCTACCAAGTAACTGGAACTACAGGTGCATGCTACCACACCCGGCTAATTTTTTGATTTATTGTAGAGATGAGGTCTTGCCAAGTTGCCTTGGCGGGTCATGAACCCGCGAGCTCAGGCAATCCACTCACCTCAGTCTTCCAAAGCGCGGGATTACAGGCTAAGCCACCGAGCCCAGCTCTCTATCCTATTTTTACTTTGTTTATTCCGAAAAAGTGGCAACAGACAGGCAAGGCGAGGTTTCCCCCCACTTGGGTCTTCTCTCCTGTGTATGTGATAGAGTGTGAGGTGGTTTTCCCACGCTTTCTTTTTGAATAGTAAGGAACCCGTGTCTGGGAGCCCACACCTGGTACCTTGGCGATGATGCTAGAGATGAGGCAGCATCCTGAGAAGGTGCTGACTGAGAATGCAAAGCAGCAATAGTAGAAGCAATAATAATAGCACCAGCAGGAACAAAAGCAGCAACAGCATTGACAACAGCAACTCTCAGCAGCTTCCTGACTAGAGGAGGGTTTTTCTTCTTGCTGCCTTTAGAGCTGACTCCCTTCTCCTAACACTCTTGTCTAATATTTCCCTCATGTTTCTTCAAAAACAGAGGGGAGTTCTATACTACTAATTTTATATTTTCTCACAGTGTGCTCAAACTTGGATCAGGGAGACTACCTATATCTTATCACGTTTTGTAGTTTATTTTTATTAAGTTGGAGGGAGGTAGAAAGACCTTCGCCAGACTCTAGAAAACATCAACAGTCCTGTCCTCCACCCTGCTCTCAGCTCCCACCTGACCCCTCTGAAACAAGCACACACAAAAATGCCATGCTCTTCCATATTCTAGTATCTTAGTTTAGGCTGTTCCTTGCCTCTGAATGATGCTTCTGTCCTTTCAGCTTGATAAATTTTTGCCAAACCTTTAAGACCCTTCAAACATACCACTTCTTCATTTAATTCCTGCCTTTGCCCATTCAGTTTAATCTGGATTTTAAAATTCTGCATTGTCATAGATTCCTGTGAAACATCTATCATAGCACTTACTATACTGTATTGTTGCATTTGTTTTGTTTTGTTTTGTTTTTTTGAGTTGGAGTCTCACTCTGTTGCTCAGGCTGGAGGTCAGTGACACACTCACGGCCAACGCAACCTCAAACTGCTGGGCTTGGGCCGTCCTTCCGCCTCAGCCATCCAAGTAGCTGAAACCACAGACGCATACCACCACACCTGGCTAGTTTTTGTGATTTATTGTGGAAGTCTCACCAAGTTGTCCAGGCTGGTCTCAGACCCCCGGGCTCAGGCAATCCTCTCACCTTGGTCTCCTAAAGTGCTGGGATTACAGGCTGAGCCACTGTGCCCAGCCTGCATTTTTAAAGGTGTCAGCATCTCTCCCTCATAAGGCCTCTGAACTCTAAACACTAGTGTGAATAGACCGTCAAACAGAAATACCTTAGCTTTGAAGACATTTCTGCTAAGTGTGTGTGTGTGTGTGTGTGTGTGTGTGTGTGTTTCTGTCCATGCTTGGATTTTATATAGCTTTAAAAAGATGAAAATGTGTTAACGTGAGGTTACTTAAAGTATAGAGAAGATAGCATTAACCATCTGGGGAAAAAAATCTTCCTAGTTTTAAAACTTCACCAACCAACCCTACACTTCTTATTAATTATTTAATATAGCAGAGATAGAGAATAGCTGAGAGGCCAGGTGTGGTGGCTCACACGTATAATCCCAACACTGTGGGAAGCTGAGGTGGGAGTATCCCTTGAGCCCAGGAGTTGGAGAATACTCTGAGGAATTATATGGACATGACTAATGTTCCAGTCATTGTCAATATTTATTGCAATTTGTATTTGCCTGGCTTAATTTAAAATCATTACCTTTGTATCTAAGTTCACTTATCAGATTGATTATGCTAATTTGAAAAATTCTCTTTGCCGAGATTTTATGATTAGATTTCTACATCCACAGATATACTTAGTGCTCTAGGAAGGAAGGCTTGGGAGCAGAGATCTTGCTGGGAGAGAAAGCTTGCGGCAACTGTGTGGTAGCACTGTCTGTGAGGCTGGAGAAACACCGACTATTCATAAAGGCAGGGGGCAGTGTGCTCCTTCACTCTGCCAGGGATCTGAGGAGGGAAGGACCGTGTTACGGTGGGATGGATGGCGACAAAGGGATGGGTAGGAGAGACATTTCCATCTGTAAGACTGGAATAAGTCGTCTACGGACTGGAATGGTTGGATAAGGATGATGAAAGGGTAAACAGAAATGAACACGTTGAGCCCTGAGAATTCAGGCAGCCACCCTGGGTGGGGCAGGGAGAGGTAAATTCATTTCAGTCCACCTGAGAATTAGCTCCTTTGTGGTTTATCTGTAAATACTCTTTAAGCCTTAGGAGAGGTCAGGAGAGGCACAAAGACTGTACCAAGGGGTAGACAATGCTTTGTTTGCTTTTCTTCATATTCCTGCATCTTCTGCTCAGTCCTTAAAACATTCTGCCAGCTGAGCAGAAAATGGACAGAAGTCAGTTTAATACCTTGCCCCGCCTCCTTTCTTTGTTTCCAAAATGGTGTCACCTCAGGTAAAATAAAATATTGAATGATTTTTAGTCTTAACCAGAAATATTGTGTAAACGAGCCCATGTTTGTCTGAGAAGAAAGGCTGCCTTTTCCTGGCAAAATTTGAGGAGTTGGGAGAGCTGGCCTGAAGGGTAGGATGGGGAAGGTTTAAGAACTTTTCTCAGCCTCCTGAACTGGGTGGCTCTCAAGAGAGTGCTCTCCTTACTCTTAAGGGTTTTGAGATTCCAGAACATTAGTAAATCTATACGTAGTTTAAGTGTATGCGTGGCAAGGAGGAGTGCTCAAATATTTATTTGAATGAATAAGTACTTATTTTTGGTATCTCCTCAAAAAGTTCACCCCTCAGCCATGTGTTGTGCTCCTGATTTTGCTTTCTCAGTGGCAACCAAGTAAGAATAAACCGTGTGGTTCTTCTGTGCCCACCACAAACCAGGCGATGGGTCTATGCATGAATTCTAGTGTGCTGCTGGCCACAGCGCAGCAAGATACTGAGGCTCGCATTCTTCTGGGGTCACCACCCATTCTGATGTAGCTTTCTGTTCTTGCAGGTGCACACATCTTGACTGACTCAGCAGCAAGGTGGATTTCCTTTGTGTTTAAAGAAAAAAATGTCCCCTTGTCTGTAGAGATGATTTGCAGTTCAGCCCGGCTGAAGCTGACCGAATGAGACTATGGGCTGTGCCTCCGCCAAGCATGTTGCCACTGTTCAAAATGAAGAAGAAGCCCAGAAAGGCAAGAACTACCAGAATGGAGATGTGTTTGGCGGTGAGTGCAATCCAGCTTTACTCTTGACTTGTTGACTCTAGACTTTCCCCCTTTTTCTGTTGATGCATATTTGTACATATTTATGCAGTGCTTGTGATATTTTGTTAAATGCATAGAATGTGCTATGATCAAGTCAGGGCAGTTAGGATATCCATCACCTCGAACATTTATTATTTCTATGTGTTGACAACATTTCAAGAACTCTCTTTCAGCTATTTTGAAATATACAGAATATTGTTGTTAACTGTAGTCACCCTACTCTGCTATGGAACATTAGAACTTACTTCTCAATCTTTCACTTTTGTGGCAGTGAATAATTATAGCAAAATCAATGCAGATCTTTACATTGGATCATTTACATTCTAGTTTGTTTATTTTTATTTAAAGAAATTTTTTATAAAGATGTGGGTTACAATTCAGGGTTAGGTATACAAATGTTCATTATGCAGATACTCCACATCCTAATTTATACATGAAAGCTTTGAGGTGGATCATGCAGGTTTTATGCGAAAGCTGGCATTTAAATAAAACTTTAAAGAACTAGCAGGATTTAAATAGGTGTGTGGGACAGTAGCCACGGTGTCTTCTGGTGGGGAACTGTCAGGCTAAAAACACAAGTACATAAGCAGAGGGAGTAAGGATTTATAAATAAGGGAGTGAGGTGTAGGGTTAAGAGAGAATGAGTTCTACATTTTCAGATTAAAAAATACAAATATAACGAAGTTAATAATCACCTTTTAACCTCTGTATGATGATTTAAGCTGACTTTAAGATATCTAATGCAAAGGCCACGAACTGCCACTCTATGGCCACATCTGGTTGGCAAATATATATTTTTTGCTACCCCCCCAATCATAAAACAAAAAGCAGGACAGCCTTTACAATCAAGATGTTTCCCATAAAATCCCATGTTTCTTCAGAAGATCTGGCAACCTTGGGTCTTTGATCTTCGCACCAGTCAGTGGGTGGGGTAGCCATTGCCCCTGCAACTAGGCTGAGCCTCCAGTGAACTGCCAATCCTTCTCTAAGGATGCATGCCAAGTCTAGCTCACTCATGGATATTACCTGCCTGGCTACCTACAGGCTTCTGAGTTTGCTTGTTCTTGAGTTTGTCCCTTAGATGATTAATTATTGCTCTGATGGAGTGTGGCTATGTGAACACAATTTCATTCAGTACGAGGCAGATGAAGCAGTTTTTGCTGAATTACTTTAACAATAACACTTACTACTTAGCATTTACATGACACTTTTTATTTATAAAAATACCTCTTTACTCAATAAGGAATCTCACAGAGGTAGTGTTTACATGTAAATAACTGCAGCTGCTCCATTTGGTCACTGAAGTTTTCCTGCTTGTAGATTCTCCAGCTTTTGGTTCATTGTAATGGTTGTTTTTGTTCCCTGGTGAAGAAGTGGAAATGCTACAAAAGAGCTAATGTTCTAATAAAAATGAACTAGTGGCTGGGTGTGGTGGCTCACTCCTGTACTTATGGCACTTTGGGAGGTGGAGGGACCAGGAGTTTGAGACCAGCTGGGGCAACAACAAAACAAGACCCTGTCTCTACAGAATTAAAAAAAAAAAAATGGACTCATATATAGGAAAATAATTTTTTTGTTTGTTTTGTTTTAAGGAAATGCATTTGTGGTCTGGAACAAATTTGTTTCTCGTGGTGACTACCTATAGCATCAAGAACTGGGGAGAAGAATAACAGATAGTTAGTCATCTTAGTAAAACTGGAGTCTGGATCACTGAGACCACAGTTTCTAGAAAAAGTGCTAATTGGAACTGAAGTCATTAGTCTCACCCTCAAATGCTTAACTTTTAAGAAAAAAATCATCTAACATCAGGGTTTTGTTTAACTTCTATGTGATGTTCTGTGTCATTATCATTTTTATAAGAGAGCTGCCATTTATGGAGCTGCCACCATATGCCAAACACTGCGAGACATTTACATTCGTTTTCATATTGAATTTTCACAACCCTGTGAAATGTGTGCCATCCCAATTTTACATATTGAGAAGCTGAAGCACAGGGAGACTAACTGGTCCAAGGTTGCCCAGCTACAAAGTGATGGAATCCAGATCTCTCAGATGCCAAAGTCCACCTTTCTTTCTCGATATTGTTTGCTGATGCCTTGATGCCTCCCACTGGTCACTCATTCTTTAATGCAAAAAAGTATTGATTGATCTGTATCCTACATGGAGATTACAGAGGTAAAACATCCATAATCCTTGCTGTCTAGGTCTTCATCAGAAGATAAGGAAGCATTGCAAGGCAGGATAAGCCAAATACCATAAGAGGAAAAGATACACATCATGATAAGAGTCGGGATGGACAGTCTGCCTTAAAAGGCAGAATGAGAGCAGATTTTTCTACATAGATGACATCTGAGCCTAGCCTTACAGAACTGGAAGAATCTAAACCTGTCTAAATCTAAACTGATGAGGAAAGGTTAGGTAATGTGAGACATATTCAAGAAGTATAAATAATTCAATTTGAATGGCATATAAAATATAAGTGCAGGAGAATTGGCTAAAAAAACTTAAGTTAGGGTTAAATTATGGAGAACTTGGAATGTCAAATTACATCTTTAGAGAGATAATCTTAGACTGTAAGAGCAAAGATCAGTGGTATTCAGTATATTGTACTTATATCCTGTTTGGCAATGAGGCTACCTAACTGTCTGATTCCATATAGCCAGGAAGACTCGATTGTTCTAAAATACCATGTGTTTTTTGCAAACATTAGCATCTTATAGAGGAGCCTTGGATTAGTCAACTATTGCTGGGTGATAGACAACCTCAGGATCTCAGGGACATTCAAGAAGCGTTTCTTTCTTGATCAGCTGAGTTGGTGGGGGGTTAGCTGAGGTGGCACTGCCCCATGTATCTCTCATTTTCTCCTGGGACCAGAAAGTTGAGGGGCCATGCTGTCCTTTCTCAGAAGGGAAAGCACGCAGGTGAATCCTATAATACCTCTTAGGCTTGAACTTGTAACTGAACACTGTCACTCGCACCCACGTGCCGCTAGCCAAAGTAGGGCACACAAATCAGTCCAAAGTCCAGAGGCAGGGAAGTATACTCTGACCAGAGCCCAACATGGCAAGAGTATGGATGCTGGGAGGGCAAAGAACCAGGGCAAATAACCAGTCCGTCCCAAGTCTGCATGGCGTTTGCTGTCTCTGTGGCTTTATGTCGTCCATGCCACAAAGTGCGGGTAAGGGCTTTGACTAAATTTTGTTCGTCTGCTCAACACTCATATCGAAGTTGTATTTGGGCATTCATCATCTTGTTAATCTTTGTAACGTAAACATTTGCAGATGTGTGGTACTGTGTTAAATAAGGTAGGAATACAGTGGCGGGAAAGCTTCACCAGTCAAAGGAGATACTTTTCTAGCCCTGAAGGGGTCTGGGGGTAGAATTGTCAGAATCCATCGTCAAGGCAGTACCAGTATCCTGCCTACAGAATGCTAGCATTTAAATATGATGAGATAAAGTCCTGTCTGTGTTTCTCCACTTCAATTAGTTTGCCAGGAGAAGACATTTACAAAATCCCAAGGTGAACACAGCTGCTCACAGATGGCTCACTTTTTGACCATTTGTCACCCATTATTTCAGTAGTCTATTATTGCATAATAAATGACCCCAAACGTAGTAGCTTGAAACAGCACAAGTTTATTATTTCAGACAATTCTGTGGGATGGCTAGGGTTCATCGGCTGTTCTCACCTGGGCTCAGTCATGCAGCTGCATTCGGCTGGGATCTCAGCTGGACTCAACTGTCCCAGATGGCTCCAGGCCTCTGCCTACAAGGCCTCTCTTTCCAGCTGGGTAGCCAAAGTTTTCACATGGTGGCTAGCTTCCAAGAGAGGAAGTGGAAGCTGCCAGGCCTCTTAAGACTTGGGCTTGAAAGTCTAAGAATGTCACTTTTGCCGCATTCTGTTGATCAAAGCAAGTTACAAGACCATTCCAGAGATGAGGGCGCACAAAGTCACTCCATCTCTTGAATATGTATGAGCGGAGACCCCTCCAAAAAACTCAGAATTTATTTATAAAAAATTGTATATTTATTCTTACATGCTTAAACTTCAGTCATCTTCAAAGTACTCTCCATTTGATACAATATACCCATCAAGATGCTTTTTCCACTGCTCAAAACAGTTTTTGAACTTGTCAGTTTTGGTCTTTTAGTGCTTCTGTTGTTTTTTTGTTTCATCTCTTCCACACTGGCAAAATGTTTCCTTTTGAGGACTTTTTTCATCCCGGGATTCAAAAAAAGGTCGCTTGGGGAGCCATCAGGTGAATAGGCAGGTGGGGCACGGGGGTCATGCTGTTTTTGGTCAAAGACTGCTGAACACTCAGTGTGGTGTGAGCAGGTGTGTTATGGTGGAGAAATCTGTCACCTGTTTGCCACAACTTGGGGCGTTTCTTTGCAAATCATAAAGCAACCTTCTCAAAACTTCCAGATAAAAAGAAACTTTGGTTGACTGATCTGGAGGAACAAATTCAGAGTGTACTACACAGAGCCCACCCTTCAAAAGATAATTTCAGTTTTTTGGAAGGGTCCCTCATTATATGTGCTTATAGGGAAGGCAGTAATTGCTGGGAGCCAGTTTTGAAGACTGACACAATTGTGAGAGGCAATGAGAACTCCATGACTGGGTTATATTTCAACCTGGACAGTTACATTCTGCTTTCTAAATCACCCCTCTACTTTTCACTGTATAAAGTGGCCTCATTCACTTTTTAAAAGCTAAAATGTTTAAAAATGTTTTAAAAATTTATTACCACATGTTGTTGAAGAGTTGAAAAAGTCTGTGAAGGGTGGCATATTTGAGGATGGCTCTGAAGTATGTTTCTGAGTATGTGTACACACACACATTCGATCCTTTTTCTAAAGGTGTTAATTTAATTTCATAGCTTCTGAAGACTGCTAGGGAGCTTTGATACTCAGTGTGTTTATATAAATGGTAGTTTCCATTTTTCTGAAGGAGTTTGGGC